ACCTTTGGCATAACTTACCTGAAAATATTCCTCTAACTTTTGTCTGAGCGGATTGGGAATTTGGTGGAAGCGGATAAATTCCTTTACCCGCATCAGCTGCGTGTGGTACCGTGCTGTTCCCGCATAGAGCCGCTGGATGATAGCCGAAACGTTTCCAAAGATACTGGCGTACATGAGAGCTGGGGATGGAGCGCACGAGGTGTGTTATTATAAAGGGAAGTATGAGATATATATATATATATTTTTTTTTGTCTTGCTCTAATAAAATCTCGCTTAAATGTGATCTTTTAACTGAAAGTTGGGATGTAATTGCCTTCATTATTGTAAGTTAGCTCATAATATCTACTGAGTAGAATATCATTTAAGAATGAATTAATTTCGGATATACGTTCATGAAATTGCAAATCAGAAAAAAAGACAAACATCCCGGAAAGTCAAAACAGTCCAAGAAAAAATAGACATATATAAAACAGACACTGTAAAACTACATACCTGCATATGCATCAAGTTATCTTACTGAAGAAAATAATAGAAGATAAAATAGCTACAAGAAATTAATGGAGATAAAACAAAGAGAGGGGGGCTCAGCACACTCCACATAAGTTAGCACCTGCAATGGAGAATACAGTACACGCATACACAACCTAAGCGTTAAGCATGCACGACTTCACTACGCTACTGTGCTTAATCCTACGTAGCGCTAATATTATGCACGATATACACTAGCACGGGCAAATAACGCAGCCCGGGTAGAAGTAGCCCAAATATACATGTGTGTATATAATAAAAAAAGCTGAGCAACTTTTTTTCTTTTTTCTTTTTTTTTTTCTTTTTTTTTCCAAATTTCAAAAGACACTGTTTTCTCTCGACGGATGGATACAATCAGTACAATCGTGGTAGGTACAACCAGTAAGGAACAAAATCAATAACCGGAATATATATTGATGGTTTAAATCCAATGGTGGGGTGGGGTGTTGGGAGGGAAGGGGGGGGAGGGGGAGGAGGAGGAAGAGGAGCCTTCTGGTAAATCCAATTACTTTCAAGCTTTATGCCAACGGGAAATATATATAATCATGACCTTAACGACCATTTTAGCACACAGGGAAGAACAGGTGCCTTCAGGTTATATATATTTTTTAAAGGAATCGCCAAAAGGAAATAACCATTAAAAAAAAAAACTAAAACTAGTTAAATCGCACGTGTTAGGAAACCAAAAAATGAATAAAGGATGACCAAAACAATAAAAGAATGAAAATAAATAAATAAAATAAGCAAAGAGAGAGAGAGAGAGAGAAAGAAAGAAAGAGAGAGAGAGACATAAAATAAAATAATAAAAAGGGGGGGGAAAAATACGTGAGCTAATATGATCGAAAGGTAGGTTAGCTGTTGGCACACGGGACGGTTGACCCAAAAAATGGACGACTCACAGCCAAGAAGCATGACAATAATGGTGAAGACTTTCTCGCAGTCAGTGTTCGGGGAAACGTTACCGAACCCAACACTGGTGATTGTACTGAAGGTGAAGTACATGGCTGTGATGTATTTCTCCTGATGGAGGAGCAAGAGCATCGGCAGGAGAGGTGGCAGGAGGTGCAACGTCAGAGCCCATGGCAACAGCGGCGGCGGCAGCGGGGGAAGGAGGTGCATGTAGGTGGTTAGAGTGGTGAAAAATACATTTTTTTCTTTGTTCCGTGCATGTGTAAAAAAAAAAATGTTGAATGGTGAGAAAAATGTGAAAAAAAGGGAAGGCCAAGGTGGAACCGTGTAAGATCGGATATGCACTAAGAGTACATTTTATGTTTTATTTTCGTGATGAGAAGAAAATGGTAACAAAACAAAAACAAAGAATAATATAAAATGAATAAACGAATAAATAACTAAAAGTGAGGGGATGCGAGAAAGGGAAACGAAACAAAAAATTAATTTGGGTAGGGGGGGAGGGGGGTGGCATGGATACGTACCAGGTCGAAAAAAAATGTCTATATTTAATTCCGTGAGTGGGATAAGAAGACGTAATGGAGATATGATAGAATGGAGCAAATGGGGTAAAAATGGAAAAAAAATGAGGGGGGGGGAGGGGAGATGATAAAACCGTACAAATTTTGTTTCAAGAATTTTCAGGATCAAACTGGCTACACATTAGTCAGCCATGGAAAGAATAAACGAATAGAGAGAGACATATTGCAAAATTCCCGATAGACAAAACGTTTTAAACAGTGTAATTAGCAATAGGGTAATCAAGAAAACAAAAACAAAAAACAATAAATATATGTATATATATATATGTGTGTGTGTGTGTGTGTGTGTGTGTGTGTGTGTGTGTGTGTGTGTGAGTGTGAGTGTGTGTGTATGTTTCCATGTGTGTATACATATGTATACATATGTATACATACTTACACACACATACACACACACACACACACACACACACACACACACATGTATATATATATATATATATATATATATATATATATATATATATATATATATATGTATATATGTATATATATATATATATATATATATATATATATATATATATATATATATATATATATATACATGTGTGTGTGTGTGTGTGTGTGTCTTTGTGTGTGTGTGTGTGTGTGTGTGTAAGTATGTATACATATGTATACACACATGGATTGTACATATATACGTGGTTGCGTGTGTACCTACACACACACACACACACACACACACACACACACACACACACACACACACACACACACACACACACACACACACACACACACACACACACACACACACACACAAACACACACACAAACACACACATATACGGGAATGTATGTATGTGTATATACATTATACAAGAATTACATTTAAGTCACATATATTATCTTTCTCCTTAGAAGGGTGATCAATCCTCTTAACCCAGCAGCTATGTCATCACCTATAAATTCCGCATATGTATATATATATAAATACGAGGCAAGAGTATATTTGAAACAGAAAGATGAAAACACTGAATACCCGCAATCTGACAGGGGGAACTGGGATAGAATAAGCCTATAACTGGAATAAAAGTTGTCAGTATATACAAAACGGTTAGGCAATACAACCATGCTTAATTAAATCATGAGAGGTCCAGAAGCCATGCACCTCCTTTGGTTCTGACAGCAAGAAGCATGCATGTCATTACACACACCGGTCTTGATCGGTCATTCACTATATTTAACCAAAACAAAGAAGATATGAAGAGAGAGAGAAGGGGGGAAGAAAGATAGAGAAAGAATCCTTCAAGAAGCATGCCGATAGAAGCATCATCCCACGATCGTAAGTATTAAGAGATTGTTAGTAAATATTTCTCAAGACTAAATGCAGCAAAAGAGATAAAAAAGGGGTTACTGTCCTCATTCTGCCCTTTTTTTTCAAAACACTGTCACTGCGCATGCGTGACCGTCACCAGCCAGTACTCACAGCCGATCAGCATAACTAGAATGGTGAATATCTTCTCGGCATCTGTATTTGGCGCCACGTTCCCGAAGCCCACAGACGTAAGACTACTGAACGTGAAGTACAGCGCAGTCACGTACTTTGCCTGCAGGGGGTGAGGGGGCGGGGGGTCACTCCATGTATATGTGGGGGCAGAGGGAGGGGGAGTGCTGCCCTGGCACTGAGAGACAAAGGTGGCTGACGACGTGAGACAGCGTGATTGCGTCATGACTGAGAGATAGTACTAGACCCAGTAGTAAAATAATGAAAACTGAAAACTGAACTAGTGAAGACTAAGTGTATAGCTGTACGCAAAAGAAACTGCATGGTATAAAATCAGCTGAGTCATTTAAACGCAACAGTGTCCCCAAATCTGTATGTAAGAAAAAATGCTATTTCTGAAAGACTAGGCAGATGCTCTTTTCCACGAAACAAAAAATCAGAATTAATGTATTTAAGTCTATCGCATGTACAGCAGAATTTGTGGAACTTTAAGTGAGAAAATAACAAAAGTCATGTGACATAATGGAAGAAAATATGTGCATCTAAAAAAAAAAAAACGTGTACGAAATATAGAAACAATCTTGAGTCTCTGAGATTAAAATGATTAACAAAGGATATTCATTGACCGAAGGAAGATGGGTATTCATGACTATGATGTGCAGGTTTAGGATGACTGTACATGTGTTTGTGAAAGTGGCCCTAATACCTAAGAAACGTGATTGGCACGTGTTAGGAATGTGGAAGGGAGAAGGAAAATGAGGAGTGTTATCGATAAACAGCACGAATACGCCTTTTCATGCCTAAATGGAAGACGAGGAGGATCGACACAAAAAAAAACAAAACAAAAGAATATGTTCTGGTTAGCGTCCCGTAAAAATATTTTCGAAATGGGTTTTTATCCTGCGTCACCCTCTCTCCGGACGAGGCACGTTGTCCAAATAAATCTCAACGATACATTTTTTCTTCTTCTTTTTTTGTGTTTCTTATTGTCCTGGTAAGATGTTATCTATGGAATAGGAAACTACATGAGCAATGTTACTATGAGTCAGATTGCCGCCATGAAAATCAATAAAGCCTGCCAAAACATCGAGATACGATTTCCAATTTACGACAAAGGTAAGTAGGCTCGTCATCCCTGAGATGTATTCGTATATAATATCACGACACTGACATACATTTTTTTTTCTCACGTAAATTAGCAGTTTAGTAAATACCTCAAAAACTACATACATATACTTTATTTTTTTTATTATTCATCATAATTATTTTACAGCTAAAGCAAATTCCATATTTTATAAACTCCATTCCAACATAAATGGAGAACTGGACAACGATCAGAAGTAAGAGAAGCAATCTACTTCATTCTGTACAGTGTCTGGAACATTGCAGTCAAATGACTTTGTTGACTACGAATTTGTTGCAAGTGCTCACGGGCATAAAGTGACACTTCAACTTTTTGTTATTACTATTAGTACAAGTGTTCACAGTGAGCTAAGGTGACATCACAAGTTTAGCGGATTGGTGAAACATTAAAGACAAATATGAGTGTCACTTTGATTGAGAAGTCGAGAGGGTTCGCACATTTCCACACGGAAATCTTACTGAAAGAAGTATTTTAAGCACTTTCCATCAAATCTACTTGCCAAGCCGCTGACCCAAATAGGACCATCTCGACAAATCAATACACTGTTCATTGCTTCCTACGACTTACGGACACAAACTCACAGCCAATCATCATAGCGAAGATTGTGAAAATCTTCTCCAGTTCTGTGGTTGGGGACACGTTGCCAAAGCCAACCGACGTAAGAGATGAGAAAGTGAAGTACAGGCCCGTGATGTAGCGAGACTGAGGGATGAAAAAATGAAGAAGAGACCACCCAAAAACGTCGCTACACTTGAGAGGGATGATCTGAGTGGAGCAGCTGGGGTCGGAAAGCAAGGAGCAGGAGGACTCGCATGATGCCTCACTCAGTAAGAGGGATCCGTTAGATAAAGAAATAGATGACAATATAAATCAACTAGTGACAGTGACAGTTTGCAGCCCTTGGGTGGTTGGAACGCATGTCGAGTTCTGGGCAAGAGTCGCAACGAAAGGGGAACTCAGACTCATGACGTATATTGACAAAGAAAAGAAAGGTCAGGAATTTGATGCAGCTCGGGGTCATTACATTCTTAGGTCAGTCTTATTTAATATTAACTGAGAGGGGGGTATGGGGGATAGAAAGAGAGAGAGAGAGAGAGAGAGAGAGAGAGAGAGAGAGAGAGAGAGAGAGAGAGAGAGAGAGAGAGAGAGAGAGAGAGAGAGAGAGAGAGAGAGAGACAGAGAGAGAGAGAGACAGAGACAGAGGTGGAGGGAAAGGGATAGAGGGAGAGAAGGCAAAGGGAAGGCAAGATCATGAAATAGGAAAAAGCTGGAAAGAGAGAGAAAGAATTGGGAAAGGATAGGGAGGGGGTACTTGACATTCTTCGGGGCGACACGGGGGTAAGTAATCATGTCAAATTCCTATACTGGCTTTAACAATCAACACCATGATGATACGTGAACACTACAGTACGTGGACAAGGGCAGTGACATTATGCTTTATCGAACTGTCAAGAGGTATATCATACGCACGGATGGCGTATCAATTTTGGTTGAAAAATAGACGAGAAGAGAGAAATATCTTTCTCCTCGGGCAGAAAATAATCATACACTTGAACTAGGAAACTCAGAGAGAGAATCAGTCTTGTCTAAATACCTCTCGACATTCCAAAGCGGGAGTGACCGCGTGTATTTCTTTTCTTTCTTTCTGTTTTTTATCAGAGTTCCACATTGTCCAGCGACTTACATCCCATCAACATGAAGAGGATGGTGAAGACCTTCTCCAGGTCGGTAGTTGGGGAAACGTTGCCGAAACCAACACCAGTGAGGGCAGTGAAAGTGAAGTACAGCCCCGTGATGTAGCGGGACTGATGGGTGAGATGTAATTGAACTGAGAGATAGGATGTAACGAGATTGAAAGGAGGGGAAGGGAGTACTGGGATCCACTGGGAATGGCACAATGAGAGACGATAATGTTTGGGAAAAAAGAACGTTATGCAGTTAAGAGGAAACGGCGTCAGACGATGTAAAACAAAGGAGAGTCAATAAAGTTAAACTGGGGGAAAAAATGTAGTGATCCAAAAAATTCATACATCCCATATATTTGATGTCAGCGGTAAAGAAAGTGGGTAAGTAAATGTGTATTTGAAACTATAGAAGAAACATGAATCCAAAAGCGAATATGAAAAAGTCGTGATGAAATCTCTATAAAAAAAACTTCACAGAGTGATAAAAGAGTGAGAATTCTGGGAGACATATTGTAGATGCTGAATTGAGGTGTATTTTTCTTAAATTTTCTTCAGTTCTCAATTTTCTACCCATATACCCAATACCCCATGGCGCACCTTCGTTTTTAGCCGACCTACTACCGCAGTAAACAATCAGAAATCCTGCGAAACATCCAAGTCTGTAATGGTTTGTTCTGTGGCAGGACTTCTGACCGCTACTGTACAGTGCATCTACCTCCCAGGTTTGCACCTCGCTTTTATACATGTTTATTGATTTTTATTTATATATTATTATTATTATTTTTACTAATCCTGACACTTCGTCACTGGCCAACGATCGTCAGCCTGAGCGAGAAGTACGGTGAAAAGGAAATGTTGACACTCACCCTCAGCGTTGGTCCGCCCGTACTATTACTGTAGTAGTACTGGTGCGTCGCGTTGGCGAGGTGGTCCAGCCAGCCGATCTTGTGGAGGAGCCCTGGCCGCTCAGCGTTACCAATAGCATACCTGTATGGGGTGAGAAGAAGGGAAGAAAGGGAGAGGAGTGTTAGAAAATGAAATCCTTATCTGATCTCTGTAGGCCAACATGACGATTCCATGAAGACGGTTATTAGATTTGAATTTTAGTTGGTCCATGTACACCTACACGGCAATTCCACGAAAAAAAAGGATACAATAATTGAATTTCAGCTGTCCCGTGTGCACGGTGGTTTCACAAGAACAGTCATTCATAAGGGAGGGAGACATTTCATGACCCAGTCCAGGGAATTTGAAAGGAAGTATTTTGAACTTGTCAAGATATCTAGTCGTATTCAACAACGTGATGAATATGCAGTGAAATGTTTCGACCGCAGGGAAAATAGGATCCTCTTACCAAATGCACGCGAGCCAGTGGGCGATGAGCGCAAAGGTCGCCATGAGCAGGAGCAGGACAGCCGCGCCATATTCAGAGTATCTGTCGATCTTTCGTGCAACTCTGACCAAACGGAGGAGCCTCGCCGTCTTCAGCAGACCGATGAGGGTTGTGGTCTGGAGTTCAGGAACGGCAAGACAATCAGCAGCGGTCTTTGGTGCGGTGTACAGACCAATACGCGAAGTGTGGTCAAAGGGCGCGTGAGGTCACCACTCAGCCAGGTCATGAATGTCACGCATTTGTTAGGACCTCCTTGGCCCAGCCTTGTGGCACTCACTGGGCACTTGAAACCATACCTCACGTGCTGGCTTGATAAAAAAACTAAACACTACTTTCATAGTGTCCTTAAACTCGGAAAGACTGGGTATAGTGCAATTAATAATGGGAGTTTAAAGTTAATGCTTCTTAGTTAATCAGTACTGATGGAATATGAGTACAAACAACAATAAAATTGATTTCTCCCTGATTACTCTGTTCATGTATGTTTATCTACTTTGCTACAGCTATAACCTTTATTCCTTTATCAGTTCTGATTCATAAAACGCTATAACATTTTTTTAAAGATAGTGAAATGCCATTAAACTATATCATATCTGGATAAAGTGAAAACTAATGACAATGAAAATACGTATAATACAAGATGCAACGTTTGATGTATTGGAACTGGTTATCCAAAAAGATGATAAATACATAAAAGTTCTTTAGAGTGACTGATTTATGACACTAACCATGAGATGAGGATCAAGGCCAATGGTGCAACAGTACCACATGTCCTTGACTGCAAGTTGCAAATGAATGACTTATAGGAAGACAGATGAAGGCAACTATAGTAGCTTTAAGTACTCATAATAATGAAAGAAGTAAAACCTCCCACATAGCCTAGGGAGGAATACATGCAGTATGGTTATTATATCATTACTGTATCTTTTTTCTAGTACTTATTTCCGCTGATCCATTCATCAATAATGTTCTCATGGTAATTATGGTTCAACTGAAACAAGCTCTAGTTTGTGAAGAAACGGAAAACTTTTCTCTAACTGTATATTGACAAAGTGACGTATATGATGCAGCAGATAACACGTCACTTTACTCTATCTCGTGTTTGGGTTTAGCATTCATTACTGAGTGATAATTCATGACCCTCAGGCAGTCTGTGGTAGACATTCTGGGCAAAAGAAAAGTACTGCGGTACATGTAACATTTTTAAAGGTTACTGAAGAAGGATTCATTTAAATACTTGACTGATGATGTCTACAATGGTATAAGAAGTATAGGCCTTCTATAGGACTTCCAATCCTAAACTACAAGTTTTACAACTTTAGGTACTACAGTACTAGTTGAGGATATGGTAACTATTCAAGCGATATTAGTTAGTTATATTGGGTACTGACATGTAACTGAGTGGTAATGTAAGCTTCATGGTGATACTTATCAAAGGTTTTGTTTTAAACAAAGTATTCAGTGTTGTGTTGAACTATTTTGGGTAATAGCTATCTATGTTTGTGTCATTAAGAGTTTTTAATAGATGTGGAAAGTTACCAAGAAGGGAAATACCGGGCCCTTTAAACCTTTAATTCTAACTTTCTGCGACATGCCCGTGCTAAAAGGATAAAATTCGAGGTCACCAAACACAGTCTGTCATGAGAGCACAACACTTGGTCGGGGCCTCTAGGGGCTGAGGACATATTCATTATACGACGAGCATTCTTAAAGATCTATTTGATTTTTACCATAATTTTGGGATGAGTTTTGAAGTATTGAAAACAGCAACAAAAACATTCAAGTGAGAGTTCGCAATGACAGACTGGGATTGCTACCAAGTGTAAAAATAGGGAAGGGTGGCCATACCTCATTGTTTTATATTCCATTGACAATGTACCCAACTTGAACACGATCAGTGACAATATAACGGATGCGTCCAGAAAAAAAAATCGAATATCAATTGAAAAAAAAAATTACCAAATTAATCGCTCATAATGAGATTCGATTCGACAGGATAATCAACTGACACACGCGCATAAACAAAATGACTTTCCTGGACGCAACCGATATTGACGAATAGATATTCTACAGGAGGGTAATTATGCCCAACATATGTGGGTTTCTTTTTCCTTATATAATTTGAACAATCTCTGGTAGTCCGGGGCATATTATTCTACACATTCATAGTTAGTGTTGAGGGTTCTACGTGGCGAGCAGAGCAACAGAAGAACTAGGACGCAAAGAGTCAATCGACACCTGAATTGAAAAAAAGTGTATACTAAAAAAAAAAAATCGATAAAAAAATATATAGATGATACCAAAAAAGCT